TTGGCCCTGATGAACTTCAAATCTTCCCAAGAGGTTATGCCAAGGGCTGCAGATCCCCAATTAACCAAGATCTGAGGTATTTCTTTACCACCGCGCATGACAGCTCTTTGACCCAGCACCGCCGTGGGTTCAACTTGGAATAAGCCGTCTCCGTCCACCGATGGTAATTCGGATACAAGTGATGTGTTCTCTCCAAGCTTTCCCTTTAGTAATGAAACATGGAAGACGGGGTGTATCTTTGAATCAGCTGGTAAGTCCAGTTTGTATGCAACCTCACCAATTTTCTCAGTTATGGTGTAGGGACCAAAGTATCGAGCACAAAGCTTGACACTTTTGCGTAAGTGGACCGAATTTTGCCTGTAAGGTTGGAGCTTCAGGTAAACTTGCTCACCTACATTGAAAGATTTCTCCTTTCTGTTCTTGTCTGCTTGTTGTTTCATTTTGTTTTGCGCTGAGAGTAAGTTAGCTCTCAGTTCTTGTTTCATGATGTGTCTCTGTTGGATTAGCTGCTTAGCTTCTAGGTTGTTAGAATCTAGATTCTGCCCAGCAGATAACATAGGTGGAGAATATCCATACAAAGCTTGAAAAGGTGTAGTCTTCAGGCTCGTGTGAAAATTGGTATTGTACCAATGTTCTGCCAGAGTTAGCCATCTCAACCAGTGTTTAGGCATTTCACTAGTCATGCACCTTAGGTAGTTCTCTAGACACTGATTCAGTCTCTCGGTTTGGCCATCAGTTTGGGGGTGGTATGAAGATGAAAAATTCAGCTGCACCCCCATGAGTTTGAAGAGTTCCTTGCAAAAGTTGCTAGTAAAGATTTTCTCTATGTCTGTAATTATGCAATTAGGCAGACCATGCAACTTGTAGATGTGGTCCAAGAATAACTGGGCCACTTTAGCTGCTGTATAGGGGTGGGATAATGGAATGAAATGGCCATACTTGGTTAGTCTATCAATGACTACCAAGATGGTGTCTTTTCCTGCAGATTTTGGTAGACCTTCTACAAAGTCCATTGAGATATGTGACCAAGCTTCATGTGGGATTGAGAGGGGTTGTAGTAAGCCTGATTTCATTCCTCCCTCTGCCTTATTCCTCTTACAGACATCACAATGATGGATCAAGGTAATCACATCATTCTTCATCTTGGGCTAATAGAACACTGCCTTTAGCCTCATGTAGGTTCCATTGATTCCTGAGTGTCCTCCCAAAGCTGAACCATGCATTGCCTGCAAAATCTGCTGCCTCATATTGCCAGCACTGCCTACCACCATTCTTCCTTGATATCTTAGAATGTCTCCATATACTACATAGTCACTGAGAGAGTCTGGACTGATTATTTTGCTAGCTTTGATCTCAGCAATGTGTGTGTCCCCCTCATAGTTGGAGATAACCCCTTGCACCCACTCAGGCACTGAGCTGGTTATAGCATCACAGTCAATGGTTTCTCCCTGAGATCTAGATAGGGCATCTGCTGCCCTATTCTCAGTTCCTTTCTTGTAACATATCTCATAGTCTAGCCCCAACAACTTCACAATTCCCTTCTGTTGCCCAGGTGATACAACCCTTTGATCTAAGAGGTGTTTAAGGGCTTGTTGATCAGTCTTGATCACAAATTTATGTCCCTGCAAGTAGTGTCTTCATTTTTGAACTGCTAGTAGCACAGCAAGGAATTCCCTTTCATAAACAGATAGAGTCTGGTCCCTTGGGCATAATGCTTTGCTAAGATAAGCAAGTGGCCTTCCCTTC